GCCGCCTGACCCCCTCTTCGCCTCTAGGCTTTTCCAGGTGTATAGCGCGAGGGCCATCGCCCCCCGAGCCGTGCCCGTGGACCTGGCCATGCGGCTCTGCCTGAGCCACTCGCCCCCCATCCGCAAGCTGCTGAACTCCTATGAGGAGCTGCGGGGCAACCGGGGGCGCAAACCCCTCCGATCCTGTCTCAACCAGAAGCTGAGCGCAGAACCTGAGCCTGAGCGGCAAGATAGCACCAAGAGCTCCAAGGGCCAGAAGAAGAGAGTCGTGTTTGCTGACATGAAGGGGCTCTCACTGACGGCTGTCCGCTTCTTCTCAAAGATTGAGGAGGACCTCTGTGACTTGCAGCATGCCCTGTCTGACCTTGCCTGCTTCCGACCTAGACTGTGGGACTCACGCCCAGAAGTGTGCAGGTATGTGCTGGACTTCCCACAGCCCTCTGCGGACTACACCACTTTCCGCAGCCGCCTACACAGCAACCATGTCTGCCTGGAGAACTGCCTGATCCAGGACCGTGCCCTGTCAGGGACAGTGAAGGTCAGAAACATCGAGTACGAGAAGAAAGTGATGGTCCGCATCACCTTTGATGGCTGGAAGAGCTTCCGGGACATCTCCTGCCAGTACATGCATAGCACGTACAGCTCAGCTGACACAGACACCTTCTCTTTTGAGCTTGCCCTGCCCAAGCCATCCGTCTCCCGCAGGGCCACAGAGTTCTGCATCTCTTTCCAGTGCGGACAGAAGACCCACTGGGACAACAACCACGGGAGGAACTACAAGATCTGCCACGTGGGCATGATCCGCCCTCCCTCCCATGCCGTGAAGAGTGCTAACAGGGCCTGGGAGCATCTTGGCACCTCTCGGGCTGCCACCCTGGTCCTTTCTCACCTGCAGACCTGGCGGCACTCAGAGACCCGGGCTCCTTATTGGTAGGAAAGCAGTGTGTGGCAAGGTGTAGGTCCCTTCCATGTCCTGACTATGGTACAAGGGTCTTTGGGGAGGGGTCAGCTGCAGAAGATGCTGCTCACAGTTTTGTTAGCTCCTCCGTGTGTCTGGCCTGCTGTTGTACGAGCAGCTGCCGGTCTCCGTGGAAGCTTCTTCACTGCTGGCTCCTGCCACAGAGGCTGGAAGCTGCTGCTTGGTGTAACTCCTGCCCGTAGGTTCTCGAGGCAACGCTGTTGCGAGAGCAGGGGACCAGCAACAAAGGAACGGCTGTGGCTGTGTCCACGTCTGTCAGCCGCTTCAGCTGGGAGCCAGCCATGTGAGCTGCGGGGGTCCTGGTGCTGCCCAAGTGCCTTGTGTGGAGCTGCTGGTGACGGGGCGTGCACCCCTGCGGCACCTGGGGCCTCAGCAGACCTCGCGCTCCCAGGCTGTGACAGCGCCATGGCAGCAGCCACCAGCAGGGCCCACTGCCCTGCCAGCCTCCCGCTGCGGGCACTCCCCGAGCCACGGTCCCGAGGGGGGCTCACCGCGGGGGTGACTGAACGTGCAGGCTACCGGGCCGGGCTCTGCGGGGGACGGCAGGGGCGCCTCCGGTCGTTGGTGCTGTACTCTGCCTCTGCCTCTGCCTCTGC